CTCAGCCTCTTATAGCTGTTCCTTTTCGACTCTTTGTTCCTCTTTGTCCTGCTGCGCTGTGATCTCCATCATATTAAGGTCACTTGGTCATTTTTGTTTTACATGGTCTTATTTAAATGTCATGATACTTAGTCCACAGCTGACTCCCAATCTCTTAAGCACTGAGCTGCAATACAGTCTGCTTATCCAGATTACTCTAAATCCTCCTATTGCTGCTGTTAGCAGAAAATCACAGGGTGTATGACCAAAAAAAAACTGAGTTGGAAGATAGAAAAATATCTGCATGCTAATGGCTTCCTGCATATGCAACAGTCACACCCTCCTATGGGATTTAATGCATACACACTCTTAAAGAGCCGAGTGTGGTCTTTAAAGAGTGAACAAGACATGAATACAGATCTGGAAACAATCAGTGTCTTCAGTGTTCTGTGACTGCCTGCAAATAGAGTTTATTTTCAGTTTTGCCTGTGGAGTGATCTGTAGCCCCTTTGTGCTCTCTCCTTTGCATTTTACATCTGAAAGAACTGCATTCTGCTAAGTCATCAGTTGGCGACTATGGAAACATTAACAGCTGCATTGTATAAAATGGGTTCAGATATGGCTTGGTGAAAGGGGAAAAAATCCTGTCATTTTCATCAGACTCCAAAAATGCAAACCCACTGCTGTTTTTCTCGTTTAAAGTCCCCGACCGCATTGCTAATGGATAGATGTGTACTTTTTTTTTTTTTTTTGCAAGTAACTGCCATGTGATACCTTCCATTTTCTGTCTGCAGTTCTGGGAAGTGATCAGCGATGAGCACGGCATTGATCCCACAGGGACTTACCATGGAGACAGTGACCTGCAGCTTGACAGGATCAGTGTTTACTATAATGAGGCCACAGGTTAGCTGTCTTCCTATCAAGTGATTCATACATAAAGAGTACATTGAATGTACATATTTTCAGGTTTAGCATTTAATTCTGAAGTATAACATTAGACATGCTATTACTTCCTCGTGTCTTCTGTCATGCATGGATTTTCTCACATTAAATCTGCAATGTAACATCAAGGACTGTGGTTTCCTGCTTTATTGAGCTGGTATGTTTTCTCTCTTCTCTCTTTTTCTCTTTCTCCCTCTTTCTTGCGGAGGAGGTAAATATGTGCCTCGAGCCATTCTGGTGGACTTGGAGCCTGGCACCATGGACTCTGTGAGGTCTGGACCCTTTGGGCAGATCTTCAGACCTGACAATTTTGTTTTTGGTGGGTGGAATAAAGACATTTCTTATGTTACTGAATGACTAAAGCCTTTTATGAACTGGGGAAAAGAATCGCTCACCTGTATGTCACTTCTTCCCCTCCAGGTCAGAGTGGTGCTGGAAACAACTGGGCCAAGGGTCACTACACAGAGGGAGCTGAGTTGGTGGACTCAGTCCTTGATGTGGTCCGCAAAGAGTCAGAAAGCTGTGACTGCCTGCAGGGCTTCCAGCTCACCCACTCTCTCGGTGGTGGAACTGGATCCGGTATGGGAACCCTGCTCATCAGCAAAATCCGTGAGGAGTACCCAGACCGTATCATGAATACCTTCAGTGTGGTGCCTTCCCCCAAGGTAACGTACCTTGTGATATAGCATGACAATTTTTTTTTTTTTTTTAATTTCAGTTTCTTGTGCCTTAGGTTTCCTCTAAGATCATGAGACTGAAGAAAGGTTCTGTGTGTTTTTCTGTCCTCAGGTGTCCGACACAGTGGTTGAGCCTTACAATGCCACCCTGTCAGTCCACCAGCTTGTAGAGAACACAGATGAAACCTACTGCATTGACAATGAAGCACTGTACGACATCTGCTTCCGCACTCTCAAACTGACCACACCCACCTATGGAGACCTTAACCACCTGGTGTCCGCTACCATGAGTGGGGTCACCACTTGCCTGCGCTTCCCTGGTCAGCTCAATGCCGATCTCCGCAAACTGGCTGTCAACATGGTGCCTTTCCCTCGTTTACACTTCTTCATGCCCGGCTTTGCTCCATTGACCAGCAGGGGCAGCCAGCAGTACCGTGCCCTCACAGTTCCCGAGCTCACCCAGCAGGTGTTTGATGCCAAGAATATGATGGCTGCATGCGACCCACGTCATGGTCGCTATCTGACCGTCGCCGCCGTGTTCCGTGGCCGCATGTCCATGAAGGAGGTTGACGAGCAGATGCTCAACGTGCAGAACAAGAACAGCAGTTACTTCGTCGAATGGATCCCCAACAATGTCAAGACCGCTGTCTGTGACATTCCACCCCGTGGCCTCAAGATGGCTGTCACTTTCATTGGCAACAGCACAGCCATCCAGGAGCTGTTCAAGCGCATCTCTGAGCAGTTCACAGCCATGTTCCGTCGTAAGGCCTTCTTGCACTGGTACACAGGTGAAGGTATGGATGAAATGGAGTTCACCGAAGCAGAGAGCAACATGAATGATCTGGTATCTGAGTACCAGCAGTACCAGGATGCCACTGCTGAGGAAGAGGGCGAATTTGATGAAGAGGCTGAAGAGGATGCTTGAAGATGTGAAGGTCAAGACATCGATGCCAAAAAAAAAAAAAAAAATTCAAAAAGGAACGACCACAACAGTAACCGAGGAACCAACATAGTGTTAAGAGCATTGCTAGAATCAAACTTTAGCGTACATTAGATATACCTTTTCATTCACCACAAATAAAGTTGTAAAATGAAAACTTGTTTTCCTTTCATTAATGCTTGCTTATAAATTATTCTCAGTTGTCTGATAAAACATTAACCACAATTCAGCCATTACATTTCACTCACATTTCAGAACAGTGTAAATATAAAGGATTTGATATCACAGGGGATTTCCACAGATGAATGAGTGTTAATTCAGCAGTTTCTGTAATAGAGGGTTCTGATACATTAATTTGCTCTTTCCTGCAGCTATGAAAAATACCTGCATACTTCATTTTTGTTATGCATAGATAAATAAATTTCTGTTCCATGAGCATAAATCTACCAGTTAAATAAACTCAACAAATTCTTAGTGCAGATAGGTATGCACAAACATGCAGTAGGTCAGACGTGGGTACCAGATACTGTTGGAATAATTACTAAGGTGTAATATCTAGAGGAGTGCATTCTCCACTGCTATGAAGGCATTATGATGGTTAAGGGCATATGACCAATTGTAACATGGTAGTCAGTTTTCTTCTTCTATCCCAGTGCTGGGCATGAATCAGTCTAAGAACATACGCTCACTGCACCTTGGCAGCATTCAGATAATCTAAATATAGGCCTAGCAGGGCATTTGTTGGTTGAGCAAAATACCATTCCACATATTTCGACCAACAATATTTTCTCTACTTAATTTTGAATGCGTAAAAAGTTTGGAGACTTGACAAGTGAAACTATGTTACTTGTATAGTTACTTGTAAATGGTTTTGTGTTAAAATTCCTGTGGAGAATTCTAGCTCAGATTAAAAAAAAAAAAAAAAAACTTCCCATGTTATTTTCCATAAAGGATATCATGACAAACAATCTTATATAATTTTCCATATTAGTATGCAATGAGAGTCCTTTGTGATGGGAGTTATGACCCAATGTCAACTGATAACTGAGTAACTTTGCAATTGGGCCTGAGGGCAAAAAAGCAGCTGCTGTGCCCCCTACCCCTCCTCCTCCTCCACAGAGGTCCCAATAAGGTTGTTGTGTGGTAAACTGATTACACACATAGTGATGCCACATATAAACACAAAACTGAAACAATGACGATTTTGAACTACCGTCTGACATAAGACTCAAGGTAGTATAATAATAAAGGCTAAGACCTACCTTAAAGCCCTCATTGTGTTAGTGATGTACCTGACAGTAGACTTATAAGGGGCCTTGGCAAGAAAAACACATACTTGCAATGCCACTTTATGACATGATATGTTAATATTGGCCTTTATTGTTATTCTTTTATTGAACTATCTATAATTATAACACAAACCTGTACAAGTTATAGAGACAATTGGACCAGTTTAGTCAATGGCTTAGAGAAATGTGAACTGGTTCCACTCAATCCACCATCATCTCTTTGAGGTAAGAGGGTTGGGTACGGCGCGAAAATAAATGGATGAACAATGACGCGTGTCACATTTTTGGTCCAATCAGAGACGTCTTAAATAACACTGTGGTCTAAACGTCCAATGGCAACAGAGGGCAATGTGAGTGACGGTTATACTATCCAATCGCTCGCGGTTGAAACGGCTCTTGTGGGCGTTGTAAAGGTTTTCCAGGATATGCATGTACAATTTTGTTTATCTCCAGTGCGTAATTCCAGGCGTGTGAAGGTGGGTATCAGCGTACAACCTTTTCCTTAATAGACGATTTCAGAAGTGGACAAAATGTAATGCACCCACGCTGCAAATGAGAACACGAGTTCATTTGAACCATTTTGCCATGTGGCTTGGTGAATTACGGTCAAGCTGCTCGTTCAATCGCGTTAACTTCCTCCATAGTTTTCATGTTAGTTAATTAGGGCCGTTATTTTTTGAAACTAACCAAATAATGTTTAAATTTGGCGAATGTTTCTCAATCACAATAAAGGCCTAATTATACAAAGAGTAGTTAGGTTTGTCATGACATTTTAATGACGTTTAAAGTATCCAATCTAACTTTTCCGTTGTTTTGTTTTTATACTGACCGGAAGTCAGATTGTCGTGAATTGATGTGATTTACAGAGATGTTCAAACATGTTGATAAAAGTTATATCATTTCAACACTGTTTGCATCACTGCTACAAACTGGATGTTAGCAAGAAAACAACAGAGAGGTATCACTGAACAGTTCAGGATGTTAAGACCATAGCTATGTTAGAGATCATCATTAGTTAGCTTCTCGGCTAACGTTAGCTTCGTGGAGTTGCCTAGTGATAGCTATTGATAATCCTGGTAACGTTTCTAACGTTAACGTTAACATTGGTGGAATTACATGTTAACGTTACAGACATTTATCTGTGCACAGCAGTCATCCTGTCCTGCGTGAGGGATGGAGGCTACTCAGCTAATCAGTGACTCAATCTTGGAGACAGATGAAGAAAATGAAGAGGAGGAGGAAAATAAGAGGGAGCAGCCATTAGCTAAACTGTGCATCTTAAAAAATGCACACATCCCTGAGGCAGGTGAGTGGCTTACTGCTGTTCTTATAACAACTTCGGTTCGGTAATTTATCAACTGTTGCTTACAATGGATGTTCTCTGTTACCCAGATTTGCCCCTGTTTTTGGGAGACAATGTGCTGGGCCGTGACCCCAACACCTGCACCCTGCCCTTGTTAGCACCTTCAGTATCCAAGCAGCATGCCACCATCTGCCTCTCTGTCTACCATAGAAGAGGTTGTCACAGTGAAGTGGATATAGAGGCTTTGGTTTGGGACCTTGGAAGCATGAATGGAACCCGCAAAGGCCGCTTAAAGCTGACTCCTAATGTGCGCTACGCACTCAGTGATGGTGACAGTTTGGTGGTGGCGGACATCCCATGTCAGTATGTCAGCTGTGCTGTAGACTCTTCTCAACTGGGCCCGAGGACTCCTGTGAGCAGAAATTCAGGAGTAAAATCCAGGTTGCCAGATGCCTTGGGTGAGAAGCGAGGTGACAAAAGTACAGACAGCAGGAAATGTGTCAACAGCGGCACAAAAGCTGGGGTGTCATCACTGAAGACTCCTGTCAGAGCCAGTTGCCTGTCCTTTGAAAAAACTCCAACCCAGCCACAGGGCACCCTAGTCCCAGAATCTGATTCAGACTCAGATGGAGAAAGAGGGGGAGGAGGAGACAGAAGGCGCAATGCTCTAGGTATGCAAATTATGTAAATATGTATCGAAATGAAGCTCTGTTTTTTGTATCTGATGTTTTACACGCTCATCTTTATTGTCTTTTACAGTGTCTGATTCTGACTCTCATAAATCTAGTCCCACTTGCTCTACATTCTTGAGTCCCACAAACAAAATCGTCCCTGAAAGGTAAATTAGCAACAGCTTTTTTATGTATACTCATAAGTATATGCTTCTATACAATTTATTCCTTTGTCATTTCTGAATTATAATGCTTGTCATCTTGTTTTCCTCTGTTTTACAGTGAGGATGAAAGTCCCATCACACCATCCTCCTCCACTAAAAATAGACCTCACAGACATGTCAGCTTTAGCAAGGAGGAGACAGAAGTAGATGTGGGGGGACAGCTGCTGGAGGAAAAAAAGGCACTTGCAATTGTGCATGACAGTGAAGAGGAGGGAGGAAGGGAGGAAGAAAGAGCAGCACCAGAAGGAAAGTCTGAGAAAAGTGGACCACACCTGCCAGTGAAACAGGAAAGCAGTGCCAGTCTCACAGGAGAAGATGAATTGCCTGTGTCTACAGCAGCAGTCTCCACAGATTCCATCCCTGCATTTAACATGGACAGTGACACTGATATGGAGGGAGAGGAGGAAGGGGTGGCATCTGTGGGTTCTGTAACCTTGAACACAAACCAAGTCAATCAGCCACCAAACACAGCCCAGTTTCACATGGACAGTGATACAGATGTCGACGAGGATGAAGATACCATAGATAAAGCTCCTAAAACTGTGCCCTCCTCTGATGACAAAACCAAACCTCGTCATGTTAATTCATTTATTCAGCCTGAGGGAGTCACTGTGGACAGTGACACTGATGTGGATGACGATGCTGGTGTGTCAGATGCTGCCACAGAAGCAAAACCCATGTCATTTCAGAGAGCAAACACAGCTGACACTGCTTCTTTAATGCAGCCGAAAGATATTAACTTAGACAGTGACACAGATGTTGATGAGGAAGAAGACAGGGAAAATGGAACGAATAAACCAATCTCTAAGATAGAAGAAACTCCCACTAGATTAGATATAAAGCCAACAGGGCCCGAATCTTCCCCCGCTGCTCCTCATAGCCTACATCTAGACAGTGACACAGATGAGGAGGCAATCCCTGTCCCTGCCCTCAGTGAACCCGTGGTGGTGTCTGCTGCAACAGAATCATGCACCACTGCAGATGGAGGTGCTGATATTCTGTCTGACAGTGACACAGATGTGGATGACAATTCACCTCTAGTTATACCTGTTGTGATCACAACCTTGTCGGTCGCTCCCGGTACCATATCAGAAGCCCTTGAGTCAGATTCTAATGCAAACACAGATGTGGTTGGATCCAGCACGCCCCCTGCTGGGCATACTGCCAATCCACAGGACCTTAGAGTGGACAGTGATAAAGATGTGGAGGACCAGGAGGCAGACGGGGGCCAGATCCCCAGCCTATGCAGAGAGAAAACACCTGGGTTGCTGGTTCCTCTTCTGCAGAACTGCTCTACCCCGGTACACTTATCAGGTAATTAATCTATCAATTTTCAAATGAGAACCGAGTGGAATGAATGTATGCTGCAACTAATGATTATTTTCATCACTGATTAATCTGTTTATCAATTAACAACTATATATAAATCAAGAAAAATATGAATGTAAGTAGTACTCAAAATAGAAAGAGGTCAAATGCCTGTTTATGAATAATTCTAGCTATCAAGAGATGGTGGAAAGGAGAGATTCTCCACATAAATGCTTAAGGGAATCCACACGTTTTTGTAATGTTAAGTGATCCAGTTAAAGTGAACCTCTGTTTTTCAGTTGGAAGACACACTATGACTTCCGTGATCCACTATGCAAATCATTTGGCAATTTTAAAGTCTGTGATATAAGCATGTTGTCTTCTAATTTTGCTTTTCTCATTTTGTGTTGGTTCCAGAAGGAGAAGTGGAAGTTATGGAGACTCAGGCTTTCTTGAGTCCCTCTTCAGTTCCGTTTAGAGGTGAGTAAATTACTTTTAATACATTTGAATAGCACATGACTTTGACAAACATTGAGTATATTACTGGCTTGTATATCTATATTTTGTCATCTTGTCTCCCAGGTGCAGTAGCCCCTGTTGCAGGACCTGTAGGATTGTCCTCCTGCTCGGACAGCCAGGAAGATGAAGACTTTCTTGTGGCCGAGACGCAGTCCTTCATTCTTCAGACCCGAGATTGCCAGAGCAACCCTCCAGAAGACCATACCATGGACCCCACCCAAGCTTTTGGCCTTGAACCTTCTTATGAAAATGATGAACAATCCAGCAGAGAAGGGTCTTTTCAGCTGGGGTTGTCTGACAGCAGCCACCTGCAGTGTCAGGCCCAAGCTGTGGCCATGGAGAGCACCCAGGCGTTTGTCTCTGTGGATCGGAGTGTGAATATGGAAGACACCCAAGCATATGCAGCCATCTCAACTGCAGTCAGAACCTCTGCAGAGAATGATCTAAATCTGGAGGCCACACAGCCCTATGGAAAGAATGAGGTGCCTGCCAGATGTTCAGTAATGTCTGACAAAGAAGGTCAGGTTGATTTGGCTCTAGAAGCAACACAGGTATATACCTCAGAATGCCACAGTGATTCAGAGAATGAAATAGATGACGATGAGAGAAAAAACATAACTGCTACCGCTGAGACTCAGCCTTTCGGATTTCCCACCTCCTGTACACCTCCTGTACTTCATGAGGAGGCGGCTCAACCTCAGCAGAGACCCCGTGGTGAACTTTTATGTACAGCAGAAACTCAGCCCATGAGTGCATGTGACGAAGAGGAAAGTGATGATGAAGACTCGATTCAAAGTCCAGGAACAAGAACAGCAAAGCCACTGCAGCTGGAAGAGCAGACACAGCCCCTCATTAGTTCTGATTTATCAATTGTTGAAACCCAACACATGCACATTGGTTTTGCTGAAACTCAGCCCATGGCTACAAGTGAAAATGAGGACACTGATGATGGGGACTCAATTCCAATTTTTCGAGGAAGAAGAGCAAAGCCACGGCAGCTTGAAGAGGAGGCACAGCCTCTCTCTGGTTCTGAAATCTCTGTTACGGAAACCCAGCCCATGCACATTGGTGGTGCTGAGACTCAGCCCATGGGTGCATGTGAAGGTGAGCAAAGTGACGAAGAGGACTCAATTCTAGTGCCACGAAAAAGAAAAGCAAGGGCGCTGCAACTTGAAGAAGAGCAGACACAACCACTCACAATTTCTGAGGTCTCTACTGTTGAAACCCAGCCCTTGGAAACACAAACTGGTGTACAACCTCAGAGACGAAGGGGGAGACAATCTGAAGCTGGAACCAGTGGAGTCAATGTTAGAAATAAAAGGGGGACAATGGCAGGATTAAGAGAGGAGGAGGAGCAGGCAGTGTGTTCTGAACCTCCAAAGAGACGGACAAGAGGGAAGAATAAAGCTTTGACAACTACTAGAGGAAAGAGAGGAAAATCCAACCTTGATGAGGACGAGAGTGAGGAAGAGGAGGAGGGAGAGCAGGCTAGGAGGGCTCGAGGGAAAAAATCCATGAGGCAGCAGAAACATTTTGAGGAAGAGGGAGAACAGTGTGAAACGGAAGGAAGTGAACGTGCTGAAAATAGCAGCCCAAATAAGGAGAAACAAGAAGAGGGATCTGGAGAAGACGGAGATGTTGCAAACCTCACACATCACAAGAGTGAAAAAATGGAAAGAAAGGAAAAGGAAGAACAAGATAGATTGCTGGCTGAAAATACAGCAAGGATAAGACTTGAACAGGAGAGAGCAGAGAAAGAGAGAAAGGAACAAGAAGAAAAGGAAAGATATGGTCGGTTACAGAAAGAAAAAGAAAAAAAATTGGAGAAGGAAAGAAAGGAGTGTGAAGAAATTGAGAGATTGGAACATGAAAAGGCAGAAAGAGAAGAGAAGGAGAAATTGGAGAGAGAGGAGAGAATAGAAAAGGAAAGAAAGGAACAGGAAGAAAAGGAAAGACTGGAGAAAGTAAAGAAGGAACTAGAAGAGAGACTTGAGAGGGAGAGGAAGGAACAAGAACACCAAGCAAGACTGGAGAGGGAAGCAAAGGAAAAGGAAGAAAGAGAAAGACTGGAGAGGGAAGCAAAAGAAGAAAGAGAAAGACTGGAGAGGGAAGCAAAAGAAAAGGAAGAAAGAGAAAGACTGGAGAGGGAAGCAAAAGAAGAAAGAGAAAGACTGGAGAGGGAAGCAAAAGAAAAGGAAGAAAGAGAAAGACTAGAGATGGAAGCAAAAGAAAGGCTGGAGAAAGAAAAAGAGACTAAAGAAAAACAAATAAAAGAGCAACAAGGAAACAAGGATGAAGTAAACAGTAGAGTGCCCACAAGAGGCCGGAGAGCAGCTACAAGAACAATGGCTGCCCGGTCTACAACAGAGCCAGAACAAGACTCAACCATATTAACCAATGATGATGTCCCAGCAAGGAGAACCAGATCTCGCTCCAACTCTTCCAACTCGGTCAGCTCCGAGAGATCTGCTGCGAGCGTAAACACCCAGGAGGGCAGGGGGAGAGGTCGAGGCAGAGGAAAGAAAAGGACCAGTGAACCACCCCAGGTAACCATCGCCAGAGGCAACAGTAGGAGGAGGACGGTGGCTGCAGGGACAACAGAGCAGGGCAATAATGATGCTTTTCCTCAGGGAGTCCTTTCAAGGTCTAACTCCACCAATTCTCTCAACTCTGATATTTCTAGCTACAGTGTGACCTCCCAAAACAGAGGGAGAGGAAGCAGGCAGCAAGAAAGACAGAGGAAAACAGAGCCTGGGCCGGACTCCATCCCTCCTGTCAATAGTCAGAGTGATCAGAATTCAGCTCTCAAACCTGCAGCCAGAGGCAGGAAGAGCAGGAAAACTGAGGGATCCTCTAATGTGGCTCCTCAGGAAAATGATCAAGAGAAGGCAGACTCTCAGCAGGCCAGTACCACAAGGGGGCAGCGTCGAGCCAATGCAAATGTCTCTGATTCCACTGCTGCAGATGAGGAAGATCAGCCAAATCAGAAGGAAGGTGTTGGCAGCGAGGAATCACCTCTGCCTAAAAGGAATGCCAGGGGCAGAGGCCAAAAAGCAGTAAAGAGTGAAACTGCAGAGGCACCAGTTGCTCCTGCAGTCGGTAATGTGGGAGAGACTAAAGACAAAAGAAAAGGAAGGAAAAGAGAGTTGCAGGAAAATACCGAGGGGGATTCTAGCAGTAGCTCCAAAATCTCAAAGGGGAAGGAGAAATACCAGACAACAGAGGCAACAGAGGAAGAAGGGAAAGATGAATCAAAAGAAGAAAACCCTGTCCAAGCCAAAAGGAGAGGTAGAGCATCCACTGCTCAAGCCAAGAAGAATGCAAAAGAATCTCCTCTTGGAGTGGAGGTGAAAGAAGAGAGTGAGGAAATGGAGAAGGATATTGTTGAGAAGAGAGGCAGAGGTCGACCATCTGCAGCCCAGAAAAAAAAGAAAGAGGAGCATGACGAAAGTGGAACATCTGTCAGCTCCATGACACGGGATGCAAAAGTGGAGGCCCCAGAGGTGACTTAATTTCTTCACTTTTAAACATGCTTGTGAAATTTTAAGGTCTTAGAAGTGGTTGTTTTGACTGAAATACTTTAAGGCTGAAACATAAATCAGACAAAATGGAAAGCTGAGTAGTGTATGATTAGTGTCCAGGAACATCTGTCCTTGAAAAGGAAGGCTTTTACCTTGACCAGAGGCCCTGGTGCATTTCTCTCTCTGAGTCAGCCTTTCCAGCCAACATAATGTACTGCAGTCAACATCAGGGACTGTCTAGGTCTCTCCCACTCTATTAGCAACAAGAGTAGTTTGAACTGCTTTGCCATTAATACACTAATGAATTAAGTGGCTTAGTGGTCACAGTCATTTCCTACGCTTATGTTTTATCATGTTTGCTTTCTTTACTCCTCCTCTCCTCATCTTTCTCCTTGTGTATTTCATGCTTTACCCTGTCTGTCTTCCTTCTTGCACTATTTTGGTACTCCCCCAAAACACACATCCTCCCCCACCCCTCTTCCTCTCTCATTTAACAGCCCCAGACTCCAACCACCAGTGCATCCCGGAAGCGACAGGCTCCTGTGAACTCCTCTCCTGTGGCAAAGACTCCTCGCTCCTCCACTGCTTCGCCTGCAGCTAGTGGTCGACAGCAAGCTGCGAGCCAGGCCTACAAGGTCTTGTTTGTTTATCTGTGTGTGTGTTTTTGTAAACCTGCGGGCATTTTTGTCATACAAATTATGCACAAGAGGAATATTTGACCATAATGATAAATAGTGTGAAAGAATAAAATTTGGAAAATTAAATAAGAAGATTGATACCACTCTCATATCTGTATGTATGTAGCTAGAGCCAGGCTACAATCAGCCTATCTTAGCATTGATATTGGAGGCAGGAGGAAGCAGCGAACCTTGCTCTCTTGTGACAAAAATTCTAAGGATTGTTTCCTCTTCTGGGGTTTATGCTAGGTGAGGCTAATCGCCTCCTGGCTCTAGCTTCATATGTAATGGACCAACATGGGATTGGTATTAATCTGCTCAACTAGTAGTGATTTTCCCAAAGTATCACATTCACACAGAGGATGTTTAGAGCAGTTTATCTCTTTTTTTTGTTTGTGCAAGCAAGAATGGTTGTTTTTGAACCAAGTTACTGCTCAGTTTTCCTCCAAGCAATCTGTCTTGTTATTTGTGAGGAGTGATAATATAATTTGAATCAGCTACAGGAAATGACACAGTGATACATGGTGAAATGCACAGCAAAGATGTGCTTTGCTAAAGTTACAGGGACTAGAATCAGATTTGTTTCAGTGGCCGCATCTCCAAAATCTCTAATTTTGTTCCGTCAATCTGACAAATAAGGTGAGATGATTTACAACAACCCGATGTTTCTGGGTCTGTCATTCCCTCAGGTGCTGTTCACAGGCGTGGTGGATGAAACCGGGGAGAGAGTGCTTGCTCGTTTACGAGGCAGCATTGCTAAAGGTGTAGCAGACATGAACTGCCTGGTGACTGATAAAGTGCGCAGGACTGTCAAGTTCCTGTGTGCGGTGGCCAAAGGAATCCCCATTGTCACCACACACTGGCTGGAAAAGGTTAATAAGCACTTTGACGTTGAAGTATACTGTATACACAAATAGTACACACACTTAGGGAGACATACTCAAGCAGACGCTCTCCTCTCCTGGTATTTCAGAGTGGCAAAGCTGGGAGCTTCCTGTCTCCTAATGCTTATGTTGTGAAGGATCCAGAGCAAGAGAAGAAGTTCGGTTTCCGCCTGCAGGAGTCTCTAAGGATTGCCAGCAGTCAGCCTCTCTTGCAGGTACTCTAACTCACTCATCCTATTCATTTCTTTGCTTATATATTGAGAGTGAGAGGTTGACAGTGTGTCAGCGTGGTATTTCGCATGGCGGAAGACACAAGGGTGGTGGGTAATATTGGAATACTTAGCAATATTGAGTCATGGTGGGAATGCAGAAATGTTATTGTGAGAATCCTCCTCCGCCTGTAACAGATCAGAAGACCTTCATCCTTTATCTACAAGATTAGCTTTTAGCTCAGTGTCTTTTGTTGTTGAAAGCTCTCACGTCTTCACAAGAGCACAGTGTGGATTGTTTACCATTATGCTGTGGCTTTGTGGGAAATAATTTGACATTTACTGTTAATGTACTGGTTATATTTTATGGGCACTTCACATAAGTAGCAGACAGTAATGTTACCATTTCTGTTACAAAGTCTTGCTACCCTGCACTATTTCATCAAAGCTGCAAAATTGATATCACATATTATGCTGATACCGGCTACAATTAGGGAACAGTATACATGTGTAATATCAAAATCTATTCTCAAGAGTCTTGTATTGATTTCCTGAGGTGTTCTTGCAGAGATTAAATAAAAATGGAGAGAAATCATATCTCCTCTCTTAGGGATATGAGATCCATGTTACGAAGTCAGTGAAACCAGAGCCAGTTCAAATGAAAGACATAATCTCCTGCAGTGGAGCTACCTTTCTACCTAAGATGCCCTCTTCTCCCAAGGTACCAGTTTCTCCATTCTCAGTGTTTCACGTGAAGTAAATTAACATTTAATCATTATTCGTCTCATTATTCCACCTTAAATCTGAATCTGAAACGTAATCACCCCTTATTTTCCGTCACCTCGCTGTCTCTTTCAGCCTCAGACTGTAGTGATTTCCTGCGAGGAGGACTGGTCGCTGTGTGGCCCCGCTGTCGCTGCATCTCTCCCAGTCGTCACTGCTGAGTTCATTCTCACAGGAATCCTTCAGCAGAAAGTTGACTTTCAAAGCCACACTCTCCCTGCCCCTGTAACTAATCTACAGCTCACAGGAGGCAAAGGGAGGGGCAGGAAGAAGACATAGCATCAACAGGGTATACTTTAAATATACACGCAGTGATGCAGTTATAGGAAATATGCACTAGTGTGTACACATTTATAATTTGTAGGATCAAATCAGAGACTGATAGACTTACTAGTGAGTCAGCTGTTTGTTTGTATAAAAGACTTGAAGAATGTATTTGCCAAATGCAGCAAAAGTTGCGTATTCAATTAAATGTAGAGACATTTTGTACATGTATTGTCAGCATTGGAAGCATGCGTTAGCCATCAAATGTTCAAAGAAACTTATTTTGTATGTACAACTTCCTGATTTGCAAGAGAGTAATGTAAGAAACAAAATTTAGGAAGCTTACCAAAGGGAGACATGTCTCTAATTTTTATGTTTCAAAAATGGACTCTTTTCTTACAGTCTTACCTTTTGCCTTGTACATGTGGGAAAGATGTATTTTTTAGAATTACGAAAGCTAAAGACGATGTGGCTGCTACGCAGGGTGTTTAAATAATTACCCATTAACTGTCCTTGTCACTCTCCCCTCTCCTCCTCCTGTGTGCTCCACCCCTCCCTTTACACAACAACAACAACCAGAGAAGGAATTAACACTCCTAAACTGCTGCCTCTCTGTTTGCTAAGTGCTTAAACTCAATCAGCATTTTTGGCAGCTAACCAACCATGAAGAGGGAGTTTTGTAAATCATGTTTGGTCGGTGGAACCTTGGAACCCACAGGGTCTGTTTAGAAATCCATCATGTACGCTGGCCAGTAGATAGAAAAAAAAAAAGCTTGTTTCCTTTCCTGATAAGAAGTGCTTAGTGCCTTTTTATACCAAGGTAATCATGAACCTACCAGTGTATCTGTTGTTTCTCTGTCTCCATTAACAACCACCACCTACTCCATTAGGGCTTCATCCAATCCTATTACGTTCAGGGATGAGACACAATACAGGCACCTGAATGCTGATGCTGCTACTACATCAATATCTTATGATGTTTCTCCTTGCCTGTCTCTTCACTTCTTAGCATACAGCCTTGAAGGTATGTTGTTATTGTATGGTTTAAAAAAAAAAAAACAAGATACAGAACTGACATTTGAGTTTTCTTCATGCTGTGTCAGTGGTGTTTTAAAGACAGACTCATTAGCTTGTAATTTGTAGAACTGTTAACTAGTTAATATCTTAACATCAAGTTTGTATTTGCACCAAATCATGAAATCTGTCAATGTCTGTCAATGAAAACATTAAATATTTTCTATTATGTTTAACCACGTGTATTTCCTTTTGTGGATATTTTTGTATATTAATCCTTTAATAATCCTAATTCCTTTAATAATGATGCATATTTATATATGCATCATTATTAAAAAAATCACAACACAAGATCCACTTATATCAGTTTTCCCTTATCTTTCAGCCAAATCTTGCCCTTTTTTCGCTGATGAAGTTGCTCAGTTGAGGAAGGCCACAAGATTTGACTGAGAACATTGGAAAACATCAAGTAAGGAGACTTGTGTTGAGTTTTATTTAATTTGCAAACCACTGTTTCCAAGGTAAAGAATGAAGCTTTAAGCTCAAAACAGAAAACATTATTTCACTGAGTGGAAACCCAGGACTTTGGTGTCACAGTCTGTGTCTCTTGAGACCTGACAGGTCAAAAATAAAACTGCTGTAAACCCACCTGTTCACCAAGGCCTATGGCCTCCAGCTGCCTCATCTACTATTTTGTTTTTCTTTCCCTGTAAAGCGGCCTTGGGTACCTTGAAAGGCCATAAAAATCCAAGTTATTATTATTATTATTATTATTATTATTATAGGCTACCATCCACTTGAATGGGAAAATGGTAATCAGAGACTTTTTAACACATCTCAACTATTTGTATTTTTAGATTGAAGAGTGAAAAAGCAGGATGTTGGGTTTGTTCCCCCTGATAATGGAAGAGAAAACTGGATTTTCTATTTCTGGCATCTAGTTGGCTAAATCATTTTTCCACAAGCAAAACGACCAATAAAAGGCTTTTATTTTATGGAAAATTATGGAGAAAATGCATCAAGGCATCCATGTAGTTTGAATTTCATCCACTTTAAACAACGTCTGAACTTAATTCGTTTATGGATGAACGCCTTTGTGCTGCATCAGCATCCTCTGTTTAATAAACTCCCTCCTCGCTGTCAGATGACCATAGGTGTCTTTTGGGGGGCGAAGGGCGGCCGGTGTTTCCCGACATGAGTCGAGTGGCTCCGAGTGTGAGCAGAGTCCGACATATTCTGAAGATCTTCCAAATGTTGAGCCCGAGTCGTGAAGTGCTGCTCTTGAGGGGGGCGAGGTTGAACGGGAGGGAGACGACGAGGGAGCAAACAGGCGACGTTCGCACAGATTTTCACCTCTGAAAGAATCCCCACATCTCCGCAGACTGCAGCGCAGCTCCGACCGGCGAACGAAAAGGTAGGTGAGATCCTCTTAACGGTGGATTTTCTTCTCCTAACATGCATGTGCGGATGAGCGTCCTAATTTTGACTGGTGCGTGACGGGTTAAATTCTGCAGTTTTTTGGTTGATGCGCTTACCGGCTATCCCGGCCCGGAGGTGACTGATAAGACCTAGGAGCTGTGAGATTCATCACCAGCTGGACATCATACTGCCCGCGAGGAAAGGTGTGAAAATATGTCCATCCCGTTTACTGTCTGGGATGCAGCCAGCCGCGCCTTTATTGAATATTTTAGCTTAGTTTCACTTATTCCTCAGCCTCTTGGTGAGATTCAAGTGGTCAGAAATATCATGCAGATTTATTTTGCAGGATGCAAGATGATGCCATTTGTTCATTAGAGCCTAATGTGTATGTAGACAGCTTTAATAAAGACAGGTAAGCTGGTCATTAAATGAAAATGTGAAAAAATGAAGTACTATAATTACTAATCACCATAGAAAAATTACATATATAACTACCTTATCTCATTTTATCATCACCAAAGGCTGCGCAAAGGAAGTTGATGTTGTCCAATAGGCTGTATGTTCTAAACACTTAACACTTAAAAGCTTAATAGTTTCCATTATCTGGGAGGATGCTCCAGCCTAAAGCCTTTCTGGCTGTGTCGCCTCTGCCTGCAGTGTGCTGCTCATAGACTGTGACCGGAGCTGCGGGAAGGCCCTACACACATGAGAGCAATGGTGCTCTCATCAGCACATCCAGTCTTGTCTGCATAATTATCTTTACCATAAACCAAATCCGTTTCCTCTGTGCTCTCATCACCTCTTCTTGTGTGTTTGTCAATACTGCACGTAGCTCCTCTACCCCCTCCCCACTCCTCCCTCATGTACACTGATTTTCACGAATCTGACAGGTGCAAGCAATATGGTGGAAGCCTGTCTTATCCATTAGTTCAGTGCAGGCCAGCCTGCTGGAGGCTTCTTCTCTAGGACAAACTTTACAAATTATACATTTGGATTTTGTCTAGACAAGATTTTCCGCTTGTTTGAGCCCTTTTCCCTGCATCATCTCTCTCTGCTGTGCTGATCTGAGACATGAGATGAGTTGTAGTGATGCAGAGGCCAGTATCGTTGGGATCATCAGGGTGGAAAATGTGAAGTTTTTGAATTTTGAATGCACCTCATTTTAGCTAAGGGAGACCCCCATACTTGCTTGAAGATAGTGGTGCACCTTAAGTAAACATCCAGCCACTTTCACATGTGTGTCTCTTGGTGCAGCAGCAGTTTTTTTCCTTTTTTGATGCCTCATAATTTATAAATGTCGAGAAGAGGGTACAGTATGTGCATGTGTGTGTGTGTGTGTGTGTGAATAAGCGTCTTAGCTCACGTCTGGCAAGCCTCAACATCATGAGGGCGACTCTACTTTCATGTAGAGTTATTTCTCCTCATCACTTGTCCAAAGAAAAGAGAAGGAGAAATGATGAGGCCACAGTGGTAGCTTTGTAGGGTCCCCACATCTGCAGTCATTGAAGGCATTTCCGCCTCTTTAAAGCCCGCGGACAAAGACCAGTCTGTCCTTCCAGTAAGCAGGAGTTTGAAGGAACACAGACACAGGCTTTGATTTCAGAGTGGGATGCACAGGCTTGGATTATATAAGATAAGGAGGAGGAGAGGATGAAAGAGACGTGATGAAGAGAGAGAGAGAGAGAGAGCTTGATTCAGAGAGAAATGCAAAGAAAAAGGGGAAGAGATATGAGAGATGCCCAGAGATACAGAGCGATGTGGGGGGTTCGGGTTGAGAGGAGTCATACTGAGACGACAAAATGTAGGGGGAAAGAAAATGAGAGATGATGCGGAGCTGTCAAACAGAAGCATAGAAAGTTGAGGAAGGCAGCAGAAGAGGACAAGGATGTGATGATGGTAGAAAGTAACACTGGAAGATGTGAGAATGTTGACAGGAGAAGTGAGAGAATGGGAGAAAGAAGGGAGGTCGAATTAAGACTGAAAGAAGCTAAGTGAAGGGAGAGCAAGTCAGGGAAGGGTAGCAGATGGCATATTTTCCTGTGACCATGGTTTACAGCCCAAAGGACAAGTGTATGAATAAGATAATAATTAAGCTTATTGCATGTGTTTTCATGTGCCTGCATGTTTGTGCTCACTGGGGCAGTGTTCATTTTGGCCTCAAATACTCAAAATCAAACAGAAACAAAGGAGAAGACTTTGGATTTTTAGAAATCCAAAGTCACCATAGAAACACCAGATTGGCCTTGGTGACTCCTGTGAGGGCTACTGCTGGCACAAACAGATGGATGTGGTTCACTTCTCTCTTTCATCAGAGCCAACCAATGTCACGTGTGCAATTGCTGTATTAATTAAATGCTGATAGCTACTGGGGGTCAAGTCTTTTTTTTTTTTTTTTTGGTGGAAGTTATGATGCTGCAGCCTCAAAGAAGGGTTCAAACCCTGACAAGAATTCCCGAACCAAAGATGGGGGCTACAGAAATAAAATTACAGTGTAATTTGAGTCATACAGATGACTGTAGCAAAGGACACTAAGGATTTGTTTGCCAAGAGACACTGTTCTGTGTGACGCAGTTTTGTTCCATATTTTGTTTCAGATACAATAAAATCAGTGGGCTTTTAGGCTTTCTGCCCAGAGTGTGGTGTGAGGATGTGGCAGACACAGTGCAGAGGGCTGTATGAGGCCTTCTGTGAAAGAGCAGCTCTGATTGTCAGATAACGCCACAGTGAAATGTTAATTAACCTCATTCAACAATAAGGAACAACACACACGCAAAGACAGACAAGTGGCAGACATGTAGAACGCCAGTACATAATTTATACACAGCGTGAAGATGTCTTAATGCTGCATCATTTGCGGCAGCAATTTGGATGTGTTATGATGTCTGCTGTGTTACCATGAGACACTTTAATCTTTACTGCGTGTTTATTAGGTCCTGCAAAGTGTGACTGTGTGCACTGCAGGTGTTCCCTCCCAGTCCCTTCCTGGGCTTTGTAAATGAAAACCGCAGCAAAACCTCTTTTGCACAAACTCTTGATGTGTTACCTCAGATGCCTCAGTGTAGCAGACAGCAGTTCAGATCATCGTAATCCCCTCTGTGTTGCTTTTAATCGTGATCCCTCTCTGAAACCGTCACAGGGTCTGGAGGAAAAGATGTTCTCGTTCAGGACATTTCCTGTTGGAAACTCAGCAGCCAGGTCATTACTCAGTAATCACCATGGTTTGAATGATCCTGTCAGTCAAGAATTATTCTGTGTTTAAATTCAGGCACATAATCAATAGACAATCCTTGACAGTGATCCAAAGCCAGGTGGCCCCCGGTGAACATGCACATACACTTAAAAAGAGAAGGGCCTCTTTAAGACGTAAATAGCTGTTGGTATGGCCTTTAAACAACACTAACTTTGACCCATAAATCTACTCGTGGCCCTCATTTTAAATTGAGCTCAGGTATGCTATCAAGTTATAATGGCACTGTCACTGGCTTTCTCAACAAAGGTTGCGCCACAGGCTGTTTTTTTATGTCCGAAGTCCAATAATAACCTCTAGGTAATGGCTGATAGATTGAATTTACAGGGACAGCAAGATTGTCTGCAGATAGTCTCTGTAGGGAGATTTTTTTCTTTAAATTTTTAGTGTGATTAAATAGCCTGACTGCATTCTCAGTACACCTTAAAGGATAAAAATGAAAGAAAGACAGAGAGAAAAGCCAACGCCGACCTCAAAGACGCTGTTAAAAGACACTGCTTGAATAATGAAACATTCATACA